TATGGAAATGTTTTGAACGTTCGTAAGTTTCAACGATGGTTCAGAAAATTTCGTTCAGATGACTTTAGCTTTAAAAACTGTGATGGTAGAGCCCGACATGTTGGAATTTCTATTGATGCTCTGAAGACTCTTGTTGAGTCTAACCGAAAGCAACACGCTAGTCAAATGGCCCAGAAATTGCATATCTCTCTGGAAACAATAGTTAAACAACTAAAGAATATGGGAAAACTCCATAAAGAAGGTATTTGGGTGCCTCACGAACTTTCTGTCGACCATTGTTTTCAACGTGTGAACGTTGCTTCGTCTCTTCTGGCGGGTAATGCGCGAAAACTATTTTTGGACAAAATTATCACCGGTGATGAAAAATGGATTCTCTATGCGAATATTAAACGCCAAAAACAATGGCTCAGTCCTCGACAAAAACCACTTCCGACCCCCAAACCTGGACTCCATCTGCAGAAAGTGATGCTTTGTATTTGCTGGAACATCGAAGGAGTAATTCATTTCGAACTACTCAATCCATAACGAACTGTCAATGCAAAGATCTATAATCAGCAACTGGAACGTTTAAATCAAGCCTACATCTGAAACGCCCTTCATTTGTCAATTGGAAAGGTGTTCTTCTTCTTCACAGTAATGCACGTCCACATATGGCACGTTTGATGCAACACAAGATAATGGAGTCGGTTTGGGAAATTCTCCCCACCTACCATTTTCTCCAGATATGGCACCATCAGATTGCCATCTTTTTCGTTCGCTGAAACACCATCTTAATGGGAAAACGTATACAAATATAGAAGGTGTTAAAGAGGACAACGACAAGTTTTTTACTTCAAAGCCAAGTGATTTCTTTAATCAGGGCATTGACAACCTGATTTTAAGTTGAAAAGCATCATCGATAAGAATGGAGACTATTTCATTTAATGAATGTTTTGATATATAAGTTGTTCGGGTTTTTCATCTAAAAAAAAGTGATATTAATTTCTTGACGACCTAGTACAGCGTTTCCCAAACTATGGGTCGCGACCCACTGGTGGGTC